AACCAGAACCCCGTGGGTGGGTGGTCAGTGGCTCGAATCAGCTGGGTGAGAGGTGGTGGGACGTGGACTGGTTTGAGACCTGGGGACATGCTTTGCTATGAAGTAGTAAGAAGACTGATGTCCCTGCACCCATTTCACAGATGAAGGAGCTGCAGCTCCGAGGCAGTCCCTGCACAGGGGGACTATTATGCCCATTTTACAGATGTAGAAATTGAGGGGAAGGCATTTGTCCAAAGTGATATAACGAAGGTCAAATGTACGTCCCTAGGGCACTTTCTCTGCTTCCAGCCAGTGGTTCTCAGCCTTCTGGCCCTTTAAATACAGTTCCTCATGTTGTGACCCAACCATAAAATTATTTTCGTTGCTACTTCGTAACTGTAATGTTGCCACTGTTATGAATCGTCATGTAAATATCTGATATGCCGTATTGTCTTAGGCGCCCCCTGTGTAAGGGTCGTTCGACCGCCAAAGGGGCCGCGGCCCACAGGTTGAGAACCGCTGACCATTTCTCTCTCCAGGTGTGGCTGGGATTAGTCAGCACTTGACGTTGCAGAAGGAAATCGAGGCTCCCAAGAACAGCACTCCTGGTAGTGAGTCTGGGATAGGACCCAGGGCCTCTGGTAGGAGGTCTAGACCCCTTGTCTCCCTGCCACAGTCCCGGCTTCCTGGTGTGGCTGGAGCAGAATCCCCAAGAGGACAATAATGGAGGTGATGCTTAATTGCGCATTTCCACCCTCGGTGCTGTGGATGCCCAGGGACCGGATGCAGATGAGGAGGCTCTGCTTTGTGGGGAAGCGGGTACATCCCCAGCTGCCTCCCGCGTGGCTCGATGCCCACTGTGGGGGAGTGTGTGTGTGTGTGTGTATGTGAGTGTGTGTAACTGTGCATGTGAACATGTCAGTGTGGTGCCTGCAGGAGCTGCAGCTTCCTCAGTAGTGTTGGGCACCCAGGGGCACCCAGCCACCCCCTGCTAGGTCTCCAAATCCCCTCACTGCTCCGTCCACTTATCCTCAGGCCCCTTGGTTTCTGTGCCTTCTCTCCGGGCCCTGCTTAGGCTTCTTGATGAGAAAATAATTAACCACAGTCTCATTCTCCAAGGCTTCCACCCGGTTCCCCTGGCCAAGTTAAAAATATTCACAATGAGTAGGGCTGGGGTGGGAGGAGTACAAGAGGCTGAGGACACGGGGCCACAGGGAGGAAGGGGTGTGTTGGGAGGGAAGCCTGGTGTGTGTCTGAGCGCAGAGCTTGGGAGAGGAGAAAGAGGGGCTGGGGCTAGGCTCTGGCCGCCTCCCACTGCGGCCTCACTGTGTGATCTGGGCAGTTTCCTTGCCTTGTTGGGCCTCTGCTTCCTCCTCTGAGAGCTGAGGAATTTGCATTTGACTTAAGTACTTGCAAAGCATTTCCCCTGGTTGTAAACAGGTGATTCCCCCAAACAAAAACAAACAAAACATACCCACAAACTGCTGTGGGCAATTAAATTTGGGAGCCCACACCAGGATATATAAAGTCAAACCACAATCTTCACTGCAGAGCTTTTCAGAACCTTTGTAGGTTGAAAACTTTATTTTTATGGATAATTAATACGCTTGCACACGTCATTTAATTCTGATGGTGTGGAAGGAGTTGGGGAGCTCACAGCGCTTTCCTGTACCAGCTCTGCCCCCTCTGACCTCGCTGTCAGCAGGCACCATGGCAGTTTCCAGTGCTCAGAGAGATGGTATCTGCCGTACCAGCCGATATGGGTATAGACTTTCTCATGAAGTGACCACGAGTTTCCCAAGAAGGAGGGAGGCGTCTCGATGCAGCATTTAACAAGACATATTTTTTTAAATTGATTTCAGAGAGGAAGGGAGAGGGAGAGAGAGAGAAACATCAATGATGAGAGAGAATCATGGATTGGCTGCCTCCTGCATGCCCCCCACTGGGGATTGAGCCCGCAACCCAGGCATGTGTCCTTGACCAGAATCAAACCCAGGACCCTTCAGTCCACAGGCCGATACTCTATATCCATCCAGCCCAACCAGCTAGGGTGGATGCAGCATTTTAAAAACTTACTCGAGCCCTATCTGGTTTGGCTCCGTGGATAGAGCGTTGGCCTGCGGACTGAAGGGTCCTGGGGTTGATTCTGGTCAAGGACACATGCCTGGGTTGCGGGCTCAATCCCCAGTGGGGGGCATGCAGGAGGCAGCCAATCCATGATTCTCTCTCATCATTGATGTTTCTCTCTCTCTCCCTCTCCCTTCCTCTCTGAAGTCAATAAAATATATTAAAAAAACAAAACAAAACACAACAACTTAACTTTGACACCCCCCCACTCCCAAGCATTTCTGGGTCCAGCATCTGGAGGAACATTCTTTGGGAAAGGTGGGGTCCCTGGTCCTCATGAGATTTTAAAAAACCCTCACCTGGGGATATTTTTCCATTGATTTTTTTGGAGAGTGGGAAGGAGGGTGAGAGACACGGAGAGAAACATCGAAATGAGAGAGACACATCAATTGGTTGCCTCCTGCACGCACCTAGCCAGGGCGACCCAGGTAGGTGCCTTTGACCAGAATTGAACCTGTGACCCTTCAGTCCACAGGCTGATACTCTATCCATTGAGCCAAACCAGCGAGGGCTCTAATGAGAGTTTGTGTAGTCGGGGAGTTAGCAGAGTTCTGAGAGTTCAGACTCCCTTCCCTGAGAAGGTGGCAATGACCTTTGTCCTTAGCTGCGCACCCAGGGGCTGCCCTGAAGCTTGAGGGAAGGTACCAGAGCTGGCAGCCCATTTGGGGACACTGAGCCCCAAGAGGGCAAGCACTTTTCAGGTCAGAAGCAGGTCAGAGGGCCAGCCAGAACCAGGACCCAATGCTCCCGGGCAGTGCTCCCACATGCAGGGCCCACACCTGAGCGGGCCCCACAGCTGAGCGGGGCCCTAGAGGTGCCCTGGGGGGAGAGACCCCTGGCGCACACTTCAGGTCATTTCCTGGGAAAGGAAGAAGCACATGGGATTGTGACCGGCATGTGGCAAATGCACACAGTAGGTGATGTGCAGGTTGTGTAGGACTACTGTGTTGTGGAGCTCTGGGTGTGTCACCGTGTGCCCCTGGGGCTGTGCCGGAGAGACCTGTGCGCCTCGTGTGAGGTCCCTGCCAGGTGCGAGCAGGAGCCTCTCGCGGGGGTGCGGAGGTCGTGTGTGTGTGAGTGTGAGTGTGTGTGTGAGTGTGTGTTTGTGAGTGTGTGTGTGAGTGTGTGTGTGAGAGTGTGTGTGAGTGCGTGTGTGTGTGAGTGTGAGTGAGTGTG